AGCTCTAAAAACCTGGACAAAAGTTGCAATTATTTTTATTCTGATCATCCATTTGGTATTAAGAGTCATCTATTCAGTTCAAAATGTCAGGATCAATATTTCTGGGTCAAGCCAAAAAGTGAAAGATAATGTGGGAAATTCATACCCGAAATCATTGGCCTTTTCTACAGACAAGAACTTGTGTGTCACTTAACATCATGGAACTTCCACACATCATGCAAATCAGGATCAATGAACCACAGTCAATGAACCATGCAAGAACTAGTTCGTTTTCTAACCATTTTTCAGTACTTCTGAAACTACAAGGGAATGCAATAAGCAACAAAAACACATAACAAAACTCATTAAAACATTAAAATAATAAAAATTATAACAACACGATCTATGTGAGAACAGCATTCATTTTCCTAAAAGTGCAACCACTTAGTACACTCTCCACCAAAGTCAATGGATCCTCAAGCCAGAGGACCAGATGTCTTCGGACTCTTACAGAAGCCCAACAAGGTCAGAGCTAATGTCACCTCAACGGAGGTGGTATTCAGCAGGTTCTGACCAGTTCTGGAGAAGCGGTAGCAGAAATTTTGAATAGTTCGGAGAACCAGCAAATACCACCTCTGACTGGCCCCTCCCCCATCTATTCACTGCCTCCCGAGTCCCAGCTGATTGGCTGGGTCTTCTTTTGTTGCCCTGAACAGGAGAAAGGAGCTGGAAAGCAGGTTAATGGGGTGGGGTGGGAATGGGATTTTGCAGTAACCTTCCCCCAGGAGTAGGAAGGGAATGGGGATTTTGCAGTATCCTTCCCCTAACACGCCCACCAAGCCATGCCCACAGAACTGGTAGTAAAAAAAATTGAATCCTACCACGGCACCTCAGGAGGGAATGACATCCTAAAGGGCAGGAGCTGTAGCAGAAAAGGTTCTCCTCCTAGGTTCCACCAGATGACAATTCTTCATAAAACAAGACCCCCAACATTTCCCTCTCAGACCCGATGGAACAGATCGGTGTGATTGGGGAGAAGCAATGCCTCATACACCCTGGCTCCATGCCCTATAGGGCTTTAATGCTCATACCATCCCCTCGAATTGAACCTAATGTAGCTCGCGGAGCAGAAACATAATATGCACTGATCTAGGTGTGGACATAACTAACTTCCCACATTACCACATTCTCAAACAGCTAATGCTTCAAGAGCCCTCTTTCTTATACATATGGGGTTTTTTTCTCAATATGATGGCATACTATATATCATTGGCAGTTGAGTTCTTTCCTTGAAGCTGTATCTTGGTTATAGCTTGAGGGTCCAGATGGAATAATGGCTCACAAAAGCTCAGAGGCTGCCAGTGCAAGTGAGAGAAACATGAAATGTCCAATGTTGATTGAAGTAAATAACATGGAAATGAATTTTTTTATATACGTAGATTGTGAAAATGATGAGGACTAATTTAAGTTCCTTGTTAAGGTTCCTATGAAATCTATTAAAGGGTGATACATTTGGAGGGTGGAGAGCCAAGAAAGTGGGAAAGAGGTCCTGGCAAAGGAAAAATATGCCAACCCTAAGTTCCCTGGAGTTTGGGGGCTGCAAATGTAAAACGGAAGCATAATCATTTGAGCCACTCTGCACAAAACTGAAAGAAAATCAGTTGAGTGGCTCCAGGGTACAATTTATATCCTAATCCAAGCCCCCTGTCCAATACTGAGTATGTCTTATCCAGTTTTCAATTTTCCATTTCAGTATTCAGAAAAGTCTGCATGCTTACTCCTTGATTACTATTTTATCCCACTCCTCTTCTTAGATCTTTCTCTCCCATTTTGCTACATTAGGATTTCTGCTCTTGCACAAAGATAAGGGAATCATCTAGAATTCTAGATCTAGCAAAGTTGTCTTTCTCATCATCAAAACTTCTGTCTAAGCAAGCATCTAGCTCTTGTGGATGTACAAATAATGTATTAAAATTTGGGATTCTCGTTCCTTGTTGTTTCCTAGATATGCAGGTAGAAAGCGAAATAGGTAGTGAGTAGAACTAGATGGGGATTTCCAAACTAAGTCCTATTGTGCATCCATCCTTCTTCCTTGAAACATCAACTCTTCTCTTACAAAATGATCCCAATTCCCCTACAACACTATAATACATATGTCATTTACAGAATTACCAATGAACAGAGTTGGAAGGGACCCTCTCAAGCAGGACATCCTATACCCGTGATGGCGAACCTGCAGGTAAATGGGAACATGATGTACAAAAATAATGGTGGAATATCAGTTGTGGGATTGGAATAACTTAACAAATGGTTCTCTGGCTGGGTAGGTGTGGCCGGTTGGTCATGTGACTGGGTGGATGACATCACCTCAAAGGTAGACTTCAGCTGGTTGGGGCTAATCCCGCCACTGGCTGGCCCTGCCCCGCCTGTTTTTGGCCTGTTTTTTGGCCATTTTTCAGGTCATTTTTATGTCGCTTTTGACACCAAAACAGCCTGAAAAACAGACCGGAAAAAGGCCCAAAAATGGCCCAGAAAACAGGCTGAGAAACAAGTGGCATTGGTGGGATTTGCCAGTTCAGCAAACTGCGCAGAATCTTAACTACCGGTTCATGTGAACCGGTGCGAACCAGCAGCAGCCCACCTCTGTGGAATATAACTCTGATAAATACACAGTGGTAATGTGTATACAAACATCAATGTCCATAAGCAAAGTATAATGTTTCCACTTTCAACCCCATTAGAATCAAAATTTGATTTATTGATAGGGCTTGCTTACTAATTTTTATCTTTAAAAAACTAATTAAACCTATCTCTAATTAGAAGTCATAAAATAAACCAGTTGTTTAAAATTGGCACCCAGTTAACGGTAATAATAGGAATGGCGTAAATCTCCGAGTCTCAGGAATCTGAGATTACTTAGAATACTTTCCATGCTAGAATGGATTGGCCTGGAGTCAGAGTGTCTGTTTCTAACTTGCACAAATTTAATAAGGACAGAAATCTGAAGGCAGACATACCCAGTTTGTTGGCATATACAATGCATTACAGACAGATGCTGTACAAGTGAACATGCATTGGACACTGAAGCAGCTTTTTTCCTGAGTGCTACAACTCCCAGCATCCCAGCCACAAGGTCCAACCCAGCAGTGGTCTTCAGCTGATGGCCTGCGGGAATGGAAGTCTATGATCCAGGACCACATCCAACCCCCATTGTCTTTCCAGTTTTTCATCCCTTTGAATGAGGAAATAGACAATAATAAGATTTAAATTTTAAAAAACCTCTCTACACCAAGGAGAAAAAAATCCTAAAATTACTAGTCCCCTGTAGGACCTATTTTACTCACCTTGCATCATTACTGTCGTCCAGAATTCACAGAAGTCCTTGGTTCTCAAAAATGTAGGGAGGGAGAGAGGGAGGGAAAAGGAAGGAGGGAGGGGAGGGAGAGACAGAAAGTGGGGGAGGGAAGGAGGGAGGGAAGCAGGCAGGGGAGGAGGGAGGGAGGGAGAGACAGAGCAGGGAAGGGAAGGAGAGAGAGAGGGAGGGATGGAGAGAGAGGGGCAGGAGGGAGGGAGGGGAGGGAGAGACAGAGAGAGAGGGAGGGAGAAGGAGGGAGGGACAGAGGGGGAGGGTGGGAGAGAGAAGGGAGAAAGGGGAGGGAGGGGGAGAGAGAGAGAGATTAAATTTAGAAATAATTCTGGAGAAAATTAAATATGACAATCTATGCCTTTTTTTTACAATCCAAGCACCACATCATTCAGCTATTTATAAATACCACCATGTAATTTTGAAAGTTAAGGAATTGAGTGCAGAATCAGAATTACAACTTTACATTAGAATTATTTTCTCAGATGCTGACAACTATCTTCACCACAAAATATCTGTGTCATCACAGAAGAATTAAGGATATAAAAATAAGTTTATTGAAGTATAATCTGTTTATCACTATGATGAGATGCAACCATACATATTCTGTTGTTGCTTGTAGAATTATGAAGTAAATTACAAAAAGTAAAACACACTCACTGTACAAAATTCACCTGAAAAAAAACCCTATGAAAATTCACCTGAAAAAAATGGAAAGGACAATGTTG